TATATAAGATTATAGACATCAACCATCGCAGCCTTTGCAGGTGTATGATATTTCTGACTTAAACTTTTGTAAAAAGAAGAAACGTGGTTATGTTGACAAAATTTTTGACATGATAACCACGGCATGGTTATATAAGATTATAGACATCAACCATCGCAGCCTTTGCAGGTGTATGATATTTCTGACTTAAACTTTTGTAAAAAGAAGAAACGTGGTTATGTTGACAAAATTTTTGACATGATAACCACGGCATGGTTATATAAGATTATAGACATCAACCATCGCAGCCTTTGCAGGTGTATGATATTTCTGACTTAAACTTTTGTAAAAAGAAGAAACGTGGTTATGTTGACAAAATTTTTGACATGATAACCACGGCATGGTTATATAAGATTATACATCAACCATCGCAGCCTTTGCAGGTGTATGATATTTCTGACTTAAACTTTTGTAAAAAGAAGAAACGTGGTTATGTTGACAAAATTTTTGACATGATAACCACGGCATGGTTATATAAGATTATAGACATCAACCATCGCAGCCTTTGCAGGTGTATGATATTTCTGACTTAAACTTTTGTAAAAAGAAGAAACGTGGTTATGTTGACAAAATTTTTGACATGATAACCACGGCATGGTTATATAAGATTATAGACATCAACCATCGCAGCCTTTGCAGGTGTATGATATTTCTGACTTAAACTTTTGTAAAAAGAAGAAACGTGGTTATGTTGACAAAATTTTTGACATGATAACCAAGGCATGGTTATATAAGATTATAGACATCAACCATCTCAGCCTTTGCAGGTGTATGATATTTCTGACTTAAACTTTTGTAAAAGAAAGAAACGTTGTTATGTTGACAAAATTTTTGACATGATAGTTTAACTCAATAAATTGCTTTTTGCCATTTTTATCGCGTGAACCTTCCTAATATATATCGTGCAACGTATTTTCATGGCTGACAGGAATTGAACCTGTTTTACATGTTATTACATGTAACCTACCAGGAACCATTGTAATTTTAGTACTTGCCTCCTCAGTGTTTAATTTCATCATAGGAGATTTTCGCCAACGTTAGAATGAATGATATAAAGATTATCGCATGCACTTATGATGATTTATAAAAAACCCGTAAAGTCCTACTATATAATCGTTTTATTTACAAAGCATATTTCATACATGTGAACATTATTGGAACGGTCATAATTAATAGACGTTAGTTCATTCCATAAAACGCAAATTTAATTAACCTTATTCAAATTTATAACCATATTCGTGTTTATTGACGATGGCGTTAGTACCCAGTCGCATACTATACATAAACAATGAGCGAATTCTAAGAATTCCAACTCAATCAATTTTATTGTGTGAGAAGTATTCAAAAAAAAACCTTTCCGCCAATGCTCTGCTTATATTTCCGGCTTTAGCCATGATCCAAATAACAACCTGGATAGACAAAATGTACACCGTTAGCAAAAGCGTGCCATTGGAATTGCAAAAACGCACAATCACAATCTGTTGCTTATACCTCTGGTACACACACTTCAAAAATATACTGCTCGCGCTGTTCCAGGAGAATAATTTCCTCCAGAAGCATATTGTCATCATTTTCGATACTTGTTTTAACAAATCTCTTTACATAATCTTTCTAAAGTTTTAAAATTTAAAAAAAAGTATATTCAGTAATATCTGTTCAAACAATATGGTATACTGACTAGACACTGAGGTATACTGTGCAATATAAGAGGCGAGAGCATATATAAAACATACTAGTTTCTACACACTGAATTATTATAGTAGTTTCAGTTCTATATTTGAAACTGCGTAGTGCTATATTCAAATATTAGGTTACTGTAAACGAAATACTAACTTATAATTTAAAATCAAAGAAACATTTATACTTACGGTATTTACATCTCTAAATATTCCCAAACCAGTATTTTGTTTCAAAAGATTATCAGCATTCGTATTACCAGCCAAACTTTGAATAAATAATGTCACTCTCCTACTCTTCACCTCTTTTTTCGCCAGACTACGCAAGAACAACTGAAGGAAATTTTTTAAAAGTGGTAATTTTTGTTGAGTTTTTATGACTTCTGTGTCAGAATCATTTGACTTATATAGCCACAGAGAAACCGTGACAAGAAAAGTTAACAAATACGGTTGATTCAAATAAGAATACAAGATTTCGAACAATTTGATAAAACTGATGAAGGAAGATACAGTATAGTCTCCTAACATTTGTATTTTTAAAACTTCTTTTTAAACTAATCTATTTTACCATTTTTGTTTCAGTCATTTTAGTTTCTACCAATTATCACTGTCAAATGTTAGAAAGTTAGAACTTTCACAAGTATTTTAATGAAATAAAAAAATTACCTTCAATTCGGAATTAGAGGAACGAACAAAGAATCGTCGAAGCTTCGTTGGTTCATCAAAATCGTTAGCCCTATAAAATTAAAAAAATTACAGTATGTATTATATTTTGGACATCTTGTCAAGAGCAATTTTTTGCGGTTGCTCATACTTCATTCCGACCAATGACAGTCTAAAAAAAGGTACAGGCACAAAAGGGCGAAAAAGATGGCGACATAAACATATGTAGTACCAAATACATTCTGGTTGTTTCATACAACCGCAGAACCAATGTGCTGGCAAACTCCTCTTTGTAATATGGTATACACAGCTTTCATGATACCAGAACAAGCACTGTTCACACAAAATCCATCTCTCGTCAGCAGCACTGTCTAGGTTATGTGCGAATTGGCATTTCATTGTCGCTGCACAAGCTGTTTTAAAATTCTCGGAAAAGGTATTTATATCTGCAAAATAATGAAATATAATTGTGGGTAAGACACGTTAAAGTTCCATTGAAAGCAAAGTCTATTATATAACCATTTTGGAAGTATATAAAAAACTATACAGAAGCTTGGCTATCAAACATGACTAAAGGGGCACTAACAGTCACAATTATACCTCAATTAAAGTGTTGATAAATGTTTTAAGAATCCCAATTGCAGTGATACGCTGAGGCTACCTTCATACGGGACCGGATGAATTCGAGACCGTGCTCGAATTCGTCCAGTTCAGGTGTTCACACGGTGAAAACGGATGAAAATTTAACCGGTTCTACGTGTTCACACGATGAAACCGGACGAATTCGAGCACGGTCATGAATTCTTCCGGTCCCGTGTGAACGTAGTCTGATAGATGATAACAACACAACTGAAATGGAACAATTTTAGCTTACAGCATATAAACAACATTAATTATATAAATTTCTTACGTTCGTCAGTTTCACATCTCAACATCGGAACAATGTGATTAATCGTTCCACCAGATAGCTGGCACCAGAGCAGATGAATTGATTCGGTCGACCCATTTGGAGGACATATCTCTGTGTTATAGAGTTCATATCCTGGCGCAGAGCAATGCTGGCAAATGGTGGTTTTAAGTAAGCCAGCCAAAAGCACAATTTGGAGATATCCTATTATTATAATAAAAAACCATAACACCATATTATCTGAACGCTTTCAACATAATTGCCTCCGCTGAGCCAGTCGGAAATTGTTTTTAAATTTTCCCAGGAAATGATACAATGTGGTACAAGTTAGTATGTGTTCCACGTTAAACAAACTCGGTTGCATATTAAAAACCTTACTACTGCAACTTACCAGAGTAACGACCATCCACAGAGGTTTTCATTATCTCACGCATATAAACATAACTAACTCTATCATTCATAGTCATGTTATCTTTCAAACCGCCATATACATCATCATCTGTTATTAATGACAGAAAGCCATCAACGCGATCTGCATCGGCAAGAAACTGAGGTATAAAATTGAGTAAAAATGATCAAATTGATACAATATTTCATTTTTTAATAATACTGTATACCATATTCATAAATGAAAGCAAGCTTTTCACTCTGTTAATGTTTCAAAATGGTTGGTATACAGCTGCCAAAACCAGTTAAACCACAGTTACACTGTACCTGCTTGATGTAAAAGTGCTCATTTACACAGCCATGGACGATACACCAGAGTTTTAACCATTGATGTAGAGACTCAGACTGGTTATCACTTATAGATACTGACACTGACCGAAACAGACAATTCCCATCTCCACAAACCCCTAATGGTTCCCAACCTGAGCGGAGCATATCATCCGGAACTTGGCATCTAACACTGTTTGGAAACAGATTTCAACAATTTTACAGAACAAAATGCAACAAAAACAAGTAAGATGCAGATTTTAAAATTTATTCAACAGCAGCAATTCCGACATGAATAGCGAAAATGGTATCACAACAGCACTTTTTCGACGGAACCTTTTTGCAGACGTAAATAAGATTTTGGTGAAGAAATATTTTCTGCTCACGTATATATAGTTTAACTCACAACACATAAGTAACGCACTATCTCTTGACTTTGAAACTGCTTTTAAAGACATTTAATGCCTAAAACTAAAAATGGAATGTTTTGCCATATCTGCTATTCACGACGACACTCTTTTGCTGCCGTGAAAAAATTCTTTTTTTCAATTTTTAGAGACTCTACCTGTATAAAACCCCACAAAACATGCAATAACACAACGCAACGCAACATCAAAAGGCCCCAAATAGAACAGCACAGCATAACTGAATATAAGTAAAACAAATTCACGTACCTGATCTCAATATCTGGAATAGTCACATGACAAACAGATGGCTTCGACTTTGTACGTAGCGGAGAAAATTGAACCAGTTCCTCCATTGTCTCGCTAAGGTTCTTGAGTAACGCCCAGTCCTGATCTGCACACACATCTCCAATGAAATGCATTACTCTCTCCAAGTTCGCCGAGTTTGGTGACAAATTTTCCTTGATAAAAGAAATTTAAAAAGGCTCACGATATCTCAAGGCCTAATTAGAAAATGCAGTACTTAAATCAAGGTACTATATGTCATCCATTGCTTAAAATATTGTCTGTATTTTCAATCGAATGCAGTTCTTACAACTAATGCAGCAAATGCTCTTTCTGACCATGATCACTCATACTTTGTCTGTAGTCCTGGCTTTTTCGTAGCCGAGTGGAATTATGGGAAACAGGTTGTGGGACAATAGCAACAATTTCCGCATCAGAACTACCCTCTTCATCATGACTCAAATCCTGTTCATCACCAACCTTATTACCAGCATCATCACTCTCATCCCTACCCAAATTTCTAGCATCACCTGCTAAATTTTTACCATTCCTATCCATATTTACACCATCATCATCACCATCTTCATTTTCACCACCATGTCCCCAGTTTGCATCATCTCTACCCAAATCTCTAGCATCATCACTCAGATCTTCACCACCATCTATATTTACATCACCACCTAAATTATACCCATCAACATCATCACCATCATTGTCATCACCATCATCACTATCATCATCAACAAATGCATTGTGCTTGCCAATATGTGCAGCAATGATCCTCTCCAACATATCCACGGTAGGCCTGTTTCTGCCATTGCTTGGATCACGAAACAATAAACTTGATGGCCACCATTCTGGTTTGTGATCCTCATCACCCCAATGTGGTTGTTTGGTTCCTTAATAATTTTAAAACTAGAATAACTGTTTGTTGATAATGATTAATTCATGCATTTATTGTATGTATCATTCTGGTATTACACTTAAAGATGATCACCATTACCATTATTGGTAACTAGGGAAATTACTAGCTTTCTTTTTCCATGAGCATTCAATTGTTTCCAGTCTTTTGGTATCTTGACTTTCACATTCATATGTTCATAATTTTCTATTGTAAAATAGATACTATTTATAATAATACCAAATAGCAACATGTAACCAAAACTCTTTATAGTGCCCCCAATTAGCTACTCAAGCTAAACACATTGACACTTTAATAAAGTATTCATTCATTCATTCATTCATTCACTCTGTCTCAATTGTTACAGCAACATGTAAATGGTGAAAAACAATAACAAAATTGACAGTCACATGTAACATAACTGGGGTCCAAATGTCAAATTATAAATATTTAGGCTTATTTATTTATTACACTAATTTAGACCAATTTAAAATGTTACGATTATAGGTAAAAGAGTGCACCTAATACTTCATTGCCTATTGAAGGTCATTAATTTGCACAGAATAGCAATGTTCATTAACTTACAGTGCAATAAATCATTTCATTGATCATTTATTGTGGCATATGAGCAGCTTGGTGGACAGTACATACCTGTTGAAGAACTGTTTGGTCCAACTGAGTGGGAAGCAAATATGGCTGCAACAAATGCCTGTTTCACAGCAGGGTTTTCAGCAAATTCCCTTAACTCACGAGGCCCTAAAAAAAGTGAAACATATACACTAATATTATAAAAACCAGCTGACATGCAGTTGGAGCAGGTGACAGTTTTGACAACCGTTCATGCTAACATTAAAGGTGCAGAGAAGCAGCTATGTAACATATACATAAACATGTTTACATTCTGTGACTATAGTACTATATATACTATCTAGCCAGAAGGAGTACAACATGAGACTATGTAGCACCTTGTGGTTACATTCCCCCTCCCTATGATGAATAAAAGGATCTGGGATTAAAAAAAGTAAAATTCAAAGTAGGGTGCATCAGGGCTTAATCCAAATGTGTTAATAAAACTATACTACATATAATCAATATTAGTTAATCAATATTAGAGGAGCAGGAATTGGTCTATTTTTTAAAAAACTCAACTCTGACTTTACATGGTCACTTTAAAATTAGCTGCTATAGCTTTAAACTAGTTGTGCTGGCTATATATATATATATGCCTACATTCACGAGTCTCTTGATAATTGTTAATACAATGACAGTGCTAGAATATAATTTTATATTCTAGTATAAAACAAAATATACTTTACCTGAATAATATATCTCCCCATTTAACCATGTTAATGCCACTGTTGGACACTTGGTCAATTCATACCAATCTTGAATCTTAAATGTAATAAATGCTAGTAATCATGAACAACATACAACTGTAATACTGAATTGACGGCTCTATTATTTTTCACAATAAAATGAATAATCCCCTACCTTTGTCTGGAGGCTTTTTGCGTTACGAAGGTCAAACCTTCGTCTATATCTTGGATCCTTAGCCTTCGATTTCTCTTTGTATCGTCTTCTTAATGGCACCTATTAAATAATGAAATACACACGTTCCTATACCTCAAGAATTTACATATAAATTGCTTTATACAATAAAATTTGCATACTTCATCTACGTCCATTTCGTTGTTCATTTGCATATCACTGATATCAGGCTCCTCCATATTGTCAGCCATAATCACTTTCTGAGCCCACTGGCCTTGTTGTTTGCGTTTACGCACGCCGTGGTTATTTTTGTGGTTAGTGACACTTTTTTTGATACTATAATACCTCCTCATCCAAGCCATTTTATTGCACTAATAACAAATTTAACCCTCTATTAAGGGTATGCAAATAAAAATATTGCTGCATTTTACAACCGTGTTAAATCAAAACATGCCGTGCAATTCACGCGTGGACAAGATGGCTGGACCATTACAGGGGGGGAATAACTTTCCACGCAGATGGACGAGCGCTTGCGTGACAACTTAAATCATCTTGATACAGCAGCATCGTAGAAAAAGAAAAACAAGAAAATCATTATTTTGTTTTGTCCGAACAGTTTATTTAGGCCGTTTTCCCTTTAGACTACCTAATGTTGAACAACTTAACTTCAATAATTTGGGTATTAACTCTGTTGTCACGCAAGCGCTCGTCCATCTGCGTGGGAAGTTATTTTCCCCCCTGTAATGGTCCAGCCATCTTGTCCACGCGTGAATTGCACGGCATGTTTTGATGACAAAATGGCGTCGAATTTGGACAAAGTTAGGGTTTTATCCTATCGATGGTTAAACTTCTACAATCCGCATGAAAACTACTCAAACTGGGTTTGAAATCCTCTTGTTGCTATTATGTCATAACTGACCTGGTTATTTGGAGGGATTTTAATGGCTTTCGTGGAACAATAGCGGGACAAAGTGGCGATTTCGGCGAACTTCGTCAATTTGCAGGAAGTAGGTAAATTTCATATTATTATTTTGGTCACAAAATATCAACTATTTTACACCAAAACTAAAATAGTTTAAATTTGGGCATCAATATACATGCAGTATGCGAAAAACTGATAGATATTATGCATTCCTAATTGTCTGAGCTTTCATTGGTTTATAAATACAGAGAGAGCAATGTGTATATTTTTGGAATTTTGGACAATACATTATCAGATCCTAGGCCTCGGCAAATACCATTTAGGCACTCTGGGGACTTGTAAGCGATTTTATTTGAGGCAGGCCTGCACAGTATTTTAAACAAAATTAATCGGGGTAATAATAGTTACTGGTGATATTGTTTAATTAAAGATTTTTATGTCTGTTTATTCCAAGATATAGAAGTAAATAGAAGACCCATATCCAAAAAAAATCTATGGAAAACATGTTTTTGTGTTTGGAACATGGAATAATAACCTGGGTGTGGTTCTCCATAGAGTATGTGATGCAAAAAGATAGATAAATGTATGGGCTTTCTACTGATATATAACTTGTACAGGGTTTTTGCATTGCACTGAAGTATTCTGCCTTAATAATGAAGTGTGCAGACTTTGCAAACTTTCTTAACATTCAATTGGAACCCAAATGGTTAATGAAAATTGTTACTATTCTAGACTAATGTCTTTGTAGGTATTATTGTTAATTTATATAGGGATTTTGATATCAACTTATGCGAAGATATAGAAGTAAATTATATATTTTCTGGCCCTATAAGCCTAAAGCCCTGGTCAAACGAGTATGAGAGTTGATGAGAGTTGTTGAAAAGCGAAAGTTGACCAGATGTTACCGCGCGCGTTGCAGGAACTATTTTGTACCATTTTGTATTTATTTTGTACTATTTTTCTGAGTCTGTTACCACAAAATACAAACTGCAAACTATTTTTTAACTCTTATCAACTCTCATGACTTATCAAACGCGCCCGAACTCTAATCAAATTTTGAACAGTTCATAGTGTACTTAAGCCCCGTTTACGGCACCAGTAGCCGCGCCGAATTAAATATTAAGTATTGCTTTTTCACCATGAGATATTCTTGTCTGATATCTGTACTACTATAAAACTTGCTTTCTTTCTTGTATTCTATTCTGTTCCAATCCACCTCTTTCCATTACTTTACATTACATGACCTTACATCGCATTACCACCTTACGTTGCATTATGTTACATTACATTAGATTATGTAACATTACGTTACATTACGTTACATTGTGTTACATTACATTACATTGTATTTTATTTTATTTTACAATGTGTTTAATTTTATTTTATTTTACAATGTATTTTATTTTATTTTATTTCATTTTATTTTAGGCTCGAAAGGAGCAATGAACATGGAAATTTGAGGTTCCGGAGAAGCTTCATATGTGAACTGAGGAACATTTACATCTTCTTCCAAATGCATAAGTGTCCATGGCTAACTGGCCTGATTCAAAAATTTCTTTCCATTACAACTTTTCAAGATACTGAGGAACTGAACAAGTTTAAATTAACAGAGATATCCATGGCTAATATTCGACTTTCTGACTGGATACTTTAATTTTTTGAGGTCAGAAGCTTCATATGTCAACTAAGGAACATCCTGTTTCTACCAAAAATTACCAAGAACATTTACATCTCCTTCCAAATGCATAAGTGTCCATGGCTAACTGGCCTGATTCGAAAAATTCTTTCCATTACAACTTTTCAAGATACTGAGGAACTGAACAAGATTGAATTAACAGAGATATCCATGGCTAGTATTCTGACTGGATACTTTACTTTTTGAGGTCAGTGGCTGAAGTAATATGAAGGAAATACATAGAAATAAATTAAGTAAAAAAATCAAATGTAATGATGAAGAAATACATATTATAAATAAAAAATATTAAAATGTAGTAATTTAAAAATACATATTATAAATTATATATATATATATAAATAAATATATTAATAATAACATATATAATATTGTGTACATACAGAAACCCAATATATCCCAAACCACCTTTGCCTTTCTTTTTCACCATGAGATCGTACTTACTACTGTAAAACTCGCTTTCTTTCTTGTATTCTATTCTATTTTAATCCTCACCAGCACATTCCATTACTTTACATTACATTACCTTACATCACATTACCTTACCTTACATTACCTTGCGTTGCGTTACGTTACATTAGATTACGTTACGTTACGTTACATTACGTTAAGTTACATTACATTGTATTTTATTTTATTTTTTTATTTTACATTGTATTTTTTTTATTTTATTATATTTTGTTATATTATATTATATTATATACGAGCCTTCCATGACTTGTTTCTCTAAAGGTTTATTTGCCTGCTTAGAAAATAGCGGACAATTATATATTTTATTATATTATATTATATTATATTTTATTATATAAAGTGTAGTGCTTTATAGGGTTTTCGAGCACTGATAAAACTGATAACTTCACATGTGAGATTATGATAATTTCACATAGAATTACTGTCATGTAATTCCTCCCCAGTCCCCTGGTAGAGATATGTCTTTGAGTTAGAGAATGGAAAAGTATTTCGATGATTTGAGGTTGAAATGAGCTTACTGCTGTTCTTTAAACACGCCCCCGACGAGTGACGATCATCATACGATCCATCACGATGTTCTTTACTTGAACAGAACACGATGTTTGTGAGTAAGAATTACTCATCATATAAATATGGCCTAATTTTTAAGCTTTCATACGTATTTTAAAATATACATGCTGCTATTGTTATGTTTCTATTTATGTTTTCAAGAGTTCTAGTTGAATTTCTACCGATTTTGAACTTTGACATTGTGACTTAATAATTTGTTTCAATTAGCCTTTCTCTTCTTTTGAGATCTTACTTCTCGGTCTCTTTGGACTTGCATACACTTTTGACGAACTTAACGAATTTTAAGTAATTTGATTTGTTTCAATTAGCCTTTCTCTTCTTTTGAGATCTTACTTCTCGGTCTCTTTGGACTTGCATACACTTTTGACGAACTTAACGAATTTTAAGTAATTTGATTTGTTTCAATTAACCTTCTCTTCTTTTGAGATCTCACTTCTCGGTCTCTTTGGACTTGCATACACTTTTGACGAACTTAACGAATTTTAAGTTGCAAATTATAATTATATTATATTATTATATTATATTATATTAAGAACTTACTGACTGAGAGTGAGGTCTATACGGTAAATATCAACTCTATATTGTAAATATAATTTATTTATTTTCAAATTTATTATTTTCCGTTTAAGACTGTAATCCGTTTTACAGTTTATATTTCGTCGGTTTTTGCCGTGAGTTTTGCGTTGTTTCACAGGGCAATAAGAATTGCGTATTGCCCGTGGGCAATACGGGAAAATTCGGACCGTCTGCAGCCAATCAAATTTCAGAATTAACAAAAACAAACGCTTGCCATTAGATATTATACTATATTAAGAACTTGCTGAGCGATAGCGAGGTCAATAGACAAAGACAGAGGTTTGATATTTACCGTAAAGACCGAACAGTCTAAGTTAGTAAGTTTTTTATTATATGGAATAATTCATGCATATATGTAACGATTAACTTTTTATGAGTAATTTTAATGATAAATCTCATCTGGGCACATGACACCGAAACATCGGCCTAAAAGGAAAAAACACTATTTTGTAGAATATAAATTTATTATTTTTATTTCAAATTCAATTTTTCCGTTTAAGAATTTAATCGGTATTTCAGTTTAAATTTAGTCGGTTTTTGCCGTGAGTTTTGCCTTGTTTTCAAAGGGCAATAAGAATTGCGCATTGCCCGTTGGCAATACGGAAATATCCGGACCTGTCAGTAGCCAATCAAATTGTACAATTAACCAAAACAAACGTTTGCCATATAATAATATATTACACATTATATTATATTATATTATTCAGGTTAGAGACTGTTGTGAGTGTTTGCTTACAAATAAACCCCACGCGCCGACCATACAATGTACGAGAATTTTGAATTCTTCGCAAGTTTTTTACTATTTACAAGAAATGAATTATGTTCTTACCACTACATTATCATACAAAATATCCCGACCTGTCATTTCTCACATCGCGTAAGCTTTTTCCCACAGAAACTACACAAGGCAGCGCATTAAATATCGTATAAAACAAATTTTTCATCTCAAACAATTTACGTAAAAATTGTACATAAAAAATTCCATTCTTCTTGATTTTATAAATTTTGCTGACGACTGC